AGGAATGCAGCCCAGATGTCCATCTGGCACTCCCTAGACAGATAGGCGTCAATGGATGACCATTGATCATGATAGCCAGGCTTAGCTAAGTGTATCCCCCTTTGGGAGCTGTCCCTTATCAAAAGAAAACATATTTAAATCAGCCTGCATGAATAGTTTCTCTGTGGCTGCACCACAGAGATGAACAGAGATGAGGCCTCATTTGGGAAAGCACCGCAACACTTAATTCTGTCTTATCAACAAGGTTCTTTTGGGAGCAGTGCAAGCTGGTAGTGAGGATCTAACTACCTGCCAGTGCCAGGATGCTATTTCCAACTCCTCTGCCCCCACCTCATCATTTTGTTACACGTACATGATGCTAAACTTCTGATGTTTTAATGTTGGGAGAAATTAGAATCCTTTATTGGAATGTGAAGACTTGGCTTAACGCGCTTGGCTGAGGGCCAACCTCCTGACCGTTGGACGGGGAGGATAGGACCCCCATGCGACCAATTGGCAGCTGCAAAGGTGGAGAGGGGGTGGAGGAGGGATGCAGAAAACGAAGAGAGGGTGATGTTTGGTATATATGGAGACCGGTTGCTTACGTCAGAATTAGTGGGAATTGCAGCAGCTGTGTCGAATAAGCTCGGCTGCCTTCATTCCTCCCGAACTTTCATTAAAAACTCAGTTTCATAAGAATTGTTATGCAGCAGAAGGTCTTGTTGTCTTTTGGTGTAGCGAAGTTCACCTCTGTCTAGCTTGTGGCATTTTGAATGCTGTGAGCAGGGATAGTACAGTATATAGATGCACTTATCACAAAACCTAATATCTTTTTCCTATGAAAATTGATGACAAGGAAAACACGATGTCACAAATTTCTTCAATTGTATGTGCAAAATGTAACTCCACTGTTAGTGGGAGACTGAATAGCCATAAACCAAATTTGGTTGCATTCAGTCACAGAAATCGGCCTTGTAGAATGCAGTAGAGCCAAGCTACCACGTCAGCCTGAACAGATTAAATACATTTAGTGACTGGATCAAATTGTTATATACTGTAGTATGTGTACTGAAAACAAAGCAGAACTGCTTCTTCTTCTGTGTTATGAGATAAAACATCTCAGATGAGGAAGCTGAGCAAGAAGAGAACTCACAAATCAAAATCAGATACTTTTACAACACCAATTATTTATAAATACATATTTTTTAATTATGGCTTTTATACACAAGATGCCTGCGTTCACCAGGATCTGACATGCAGATCCAAGTATTCAAAATCATCAAAGACTTTAACAAAAAGTCTTCCCAGTGGGGTAAAAACAGAAACACAAGCTAGAGAACAAAAGTAGGAATTACTTGGAAGTGCATTTTAAACCAAGAACAAAAGGCACTTCTTTAGTCAAAGGATTATGGAACTAGCTATCCATTAATGCTGTTGATGCTTATACCCTAACCTTTATCAAAAAAGCTAGATGAGGTATTTCAATCCATTAACTACTACAGGTACCTGCAAAATGGGCTAGATGGACCAAATATCCTTCTCATATTTGTGCTCTCAGACATGTGGAAACTTTCTGTAAGTGCATTTTTAACTGAAGACTTTTTTGCATAAAGGTTTGTACGTTTCTGGAACAAGCTAGCTAACTAATATTGCTTTTGTTGAAATATTGGTTTCCTTCATGAAAGCACAGGATGAAATATTTGGATCAATTAGTTACTAGCAGATACATTTTAGATTTGCTGAATGGCCTCCTCTCTTTTGTAATTTTTCTCAAGTTCTAGGCCTATGCTTAAAATGTTCTTACCTCTTACGCTTTTATTATTTCACACTTTTTTATTTTTCTTTTTTTTTTTGTTTGTTTGTTAAAAGTGTACTTTCATAACATGCTGATAGGTTATTTAAGGGAAATTTTCACTTCAAGAAATTCTTGTACCAAAGTCTCCTCTTCTATAAACAATTCGATTTTTGTGTTATTAACTTGCTAGACAATCCTTGCCTGTCCCTGTAAAATTGCATTCTAATCAGTGACTCCGGGTCTTGCTTCAGGTACCATATGTATTTTAAAAGCATTCAGTTCTCAGAAATTCTCTAGTTATTTTGTAAAGAAAGGGTACTTTAACATCTGCCATGTCTTTTTATTTGTGAATATTATTCAATACACCATTGTACTGTAATTCTATCCTTGTTATAGCTTATGTACGGAAAGGCATTGCAACACACCAATACCATGTGTTGTGTTTTTAATGCCTTTGTACATGTACAGTATATTTTTTCCAAAATGTATAATCAGTAAATCTAGCTTTTTAATTCTGAATGTTGCTATTAAGAAAATAATGGATGTTACAGACTCTTGATTTGCTTCTATTTGGAATCAAATAAACATTTGAAAAAGTATGCCAAAATGGGTATGTAAGACATAGGGGTAAGATGGCTGCTCATATCAAGCCAATCTAAAGTTTCATTTAATTCATTACCACAGAGCATCTATAAAACATAATTAAAGCACCCAAAACAAACAACTCTATCGGAATTACTAAGGCTTCAATATAACATTTCAAAGCAGGGCTTGCATACAGTTATCAAGCAAAAGCCTTAATAATAAGTATCTCTGTTATCAAATGACATGAATAAATACAATGCAATCTAATTCATTTGTTAAATGTTTTAAGGTATACAAGGGAAAATAGTGTTTCTCCAATCTGCCCACACACCTGTGTAATCATCTTCAGATGGCAGCTAAAAACAGATGTTATGATGCCTTGTATTCATCAGTGAAAGTGGTGGTGAAACAAAATACTGCGACTAGTTTTTACCTTCCTCCATTCATGTTTTAAAAAGTTGGTTTTAAGAAGGATTTTGTTTTTTGGAAACAGCTATCCTGTAACTGACTTTGTTATCCTTATCCCATTGTATGAAAATGTAATTGTGTTTCAGCAAAAGCACAAAGTTTGCAGCATTCATTCTTATTGATCAACAAATATTGTCGCAAAATTATGACGTCTATCCATTTTTAACTGCTTTATCCAGTACAGAGTCAGGAGGGATGCTGGGGCCTAACCTGGGAAACAAGGGAACACCAATCACAGGACACAAATACACATAGACAAGCATACACATACACACCAGAGCTAATTTTTTCAGAAGCCAATTCGTCTAACAGTATGTCTTTGTAGTATAGGGGCAAACCAGAAAACCCCGACACAACCAAAATAACCATTGGGAGAACAGAGATACAGTAACACTCCAGGAAGTGAACCCCAGGCCTCAGTGCTATAAGGCAGCAATGCTAACCACAGCACCATCATGCTGCCCTATGTCTTAAAGCCCATTTTGTTTTCAATTGTAGGTTATATAATTAACCATACATTCACAAAAATAATCTATGTTCATACAGTAACTTTAGAAAAAGAACCACCCAGAAATGTTTATGACTTGTTGCATTTAGATAAAAATGATGCATCCTACCACTTGTTGACTTGGAACTTGAAATAGCTACATGTTTCTTTGGTAAAATTAAAAAAATTCTAATATTTTTTAAGGCTGCCAGTCCAATCCTATGTCATGTCACTAAACTGATGGTGACTAAGATTCTCCACTCACAGAAGAGGCACATAATTGGCAGGGCACTGCATTGATAAGATTGGACAGATGCAATGCTCCTCCAGTCAGTGCCAACTCTCTCCTAAAGCACTATAGAAAAAAATATTTCACTATAGAAAATGTTTTCACTGCAGATAATGTTTTATCAAAAGTTGAATGTATCTGACTGGTGAGTGTGTTGGATGAACAGGATTTGAGGTACCTGAAACTCATTATGGATGATTATTAAGGGTAAAGAGTTTTACTACTATCCCTTTATCTTTAAACAGAAGCACTGCTCAGTTAGTCATTCAGTCATACTGGCAGGAATCAAGAGACAGAGGATATTTGCAGTAGATTTTAAGTTAATTTATGTTTTTTTCTGAAGGCAATGTGGTGCAAGTAGAGTAATGTACATCTAAAGTCATGATCGATATTAATCCATCAGTTGAGAAGTCTCCATTTAAAATGTAGCGGTAATGATGTCCATCTGTTGTGTGGCTGGCAGGTATGTGAGAGAGAAGACGAAGACTGATGTTGACATGCGGGTTGGAGTGCACACAGGCACTGTGCTAGGTGGGGTTCTTGGGCAGAAGCGCTGGCAATATGATGTCTGGTCTACAGACGTCACTGTGGCAAACAAGATGGAGGCTGGGGGCATTCCAGGGTAATTCTTGGTCTTGTTTTTTTTATATGAACAAGTAGCTTAACTACAGAAGATTGTGTTGTGCTTACATGACCAGAGTCATACTCCACTACACTTTGTGTGACAACTCCAACATGTCTTAATGAATGTGAAAGTTTACCAGAGAAATTGCAAAGGTAATATAAGGTTAAAAATAAAAATAACATTGTTTTTGAAATAGAGAGAAGTAGAAAAGGAAATAAATCTGAATGGTAGGTAGCAATTTAAGGCACATTTATTTTTTGGCACAGTACTGTTGGAAGAAACAAACTTAAAAAAGTATTTACAATAAAATAACATGACACCACAAAATGATCAATGGTAACGCATATGTACAATTCTATACATCTCTGAGGCTTGTGTTTTATATGCCCAGAAAATCAGTACTCTAGCTCAGTAACCTGAAACACTATGCAAAGCCTGAACAGGCCAAAAAAAGAAATGTAACCCGCATCCTCATCCTAAATCAAAGAATCAGGACTAAATCTAAAAAATGAGATAGGACTGTACCTACCTAATTTAAAAAATATTACCCTACTAAAGACTGTCATATCCTTTCCAATGATCTCCTATTTTATTCACTTACAAATTATGTATATGTGTATTTTTAAGTGGATATTTTACATTAAAATGTGAATGCTCAGAATGATAACTTATATAGTCAAAAGAAGTAAAATGTTACCAAATGCCTTTTCTGTCTGTGTGGGAGATTTTATAAAGAAGAGGTTAAGGATACGTACTTCAGTCCCTATAATACAGCTTTAAAAAATAAAATGAGTATCTCACCATGTCGTCTGCTTCAGCAGCATCTGCACAATATGGAATTCTTTTTATGTAACACTTGAGGGAAGGTTCAGTGTTTCTTCCTTTTTTATGGGATTTGTAGCAATAACAGACTACAACAAATTCAAAATATTAAACATCTGGTTCACGTACGTTATATAGAGTATAACTTAGCAATGTAATTTTCTCTGAATATACAGAACTGTAGGATATGCATACAACCCTCTAGTGACCTACAGTACCATAGACTCTTTTTTTAGGGTAACACATATATTTAGCCACACCTTCATCCTGACTAAAAATAGAGCATGTTTAATTGGCTTGAAATTCTGCGGTGATTTCCAAGTGCTGCTTACAAGATGAAGCCTTTTTAGCCATGTGATTCAGCTCTAGTCATCGGGAACCGCATGTATACCGTAGTATGCTACAAGTGCAGAAGGAGACAATACAAAAGAAGTAAGAAAGCAAAGAAAATAGACGGGTCACAAAAGAATAGAAAAGCACAAATTTTGATTGTGTCTCTTACAGCCGAGTCCACATTTCTCAAAGCACTCTGGAGTGCCTGCATGGCGAGTTTGAAGTGGAGCCAGGAAGGGGTGGGGAGCGTAATGAATACCTGAAGGAGAAAGGCATTGAGACATACCTAGTGGTTGTACCCAAGATGCCATTCAGCAAAAATGGTATCAATGGTGTTGTGAGTATCACCACTTTAAACATTAATTTTCATCATATTCATAGTATTCAGTTTCACAGACCATAAGGTATAGAATCTTGTGGTTTCAATCTGGATTTTGGTGGATTAATCAGCAATTATTTTTCAGTTATCTAGTACCATACTCTAATTTATTCTGGCTACTAAACCCTACTAGAAAAGTTTTATTGAAAGTGCACATTTCTGTCAAAAATGCTTGAAAAAGAAAAAGTATTTAAATGTTATTTATTTAAATAGATCATGTAGATCTCAATTATTTTTCTTCCGGGTTTTGTTTGCTGCCCATGGTATGGTAGCAAAATGAAGGAATTATTGACACAAGCTTATGTAAGCCATGTTAATCAAATGATTAAATATTTTACTGAGCATGTGGTGTTATTTATTTAGGTTGATCCCACAGATAGAACATAACTGCCAAAGCTGAGATCATTTAAATTAAGTCTGAGTGTGCGGAGAAGGTCTCAGTAATAATTAAGAATAAATGCTGGGAAAACAAAAATAGTTTTGTTCGTGATCACTTGTTTTAGGGGGAAGAAAAAATAATCTGGAAATCTTTCCCCCCCAACCCATCACCTCTATCAAGGTGGCAACCCTTTCTCCAACCACAGTGGACCCCAAGAGTTTCCATCAGATAGCAGTTTTCATAGATGGCCTCAATGATGCTTTGCTTCCGTCCACCTTTCCTCCCCAGCTACAGTATATATGTGCTATGTCAAAAAAAGAAAGAGCGCACTGACACCAGGGAAAGGAATGTAGAAGCCAGCAGTAATGAGTGAAAGTCTTCAGTCTTCTTCTTAGAAGCGGTAATGTAAGCCAGTCCAGTTCAGGCTTTATTTAACAATAAGTCATATTTCAGCAAAAGAAACTGTCACGATTATAATCCCCCCTCCTTAAGGGTGCTCCAGCCCTTTCACTTTAGACTTTATTCTGTGCACCTGATCCCTTTTTCCAGCCTACCTTTAAAGCCAGGCACTGACGCTCATCCTGGCTCTGCATCTGGTTTCCGCACCGTGCGAGTCCGGGACCTGGAAGCGCCTGGTCCCGTTAAGGTTTTAACCTCTGTTCCT